CGCGCCGCAGGCGCTGCCGGGGCTGCGGCCCCTCAAGAGGAACTCCAAGGAGACCATCGTGTGAGCGGCGCCGCGCGCGCCGCCCCGGGGCCTGCTGCTCCCACCTACAGACTCTAAGGAGTGAAAAGGGGAAAAAAAACAAATAAGAAAAAAATAATCACTGTTTTAATTCAAATCATGGATGCTGCAATCATATGATATTTGCTAAGCTGCCAAACGTGTTTATTTAGCAGATACTGTATGGAATTCTACAAACTCCTGTCAATACTTGCATCACCGAGCGATGCAGACTTTTTTATTATTGTTTAAAAATATTAAAACTATGATGATTAACAATGCAAAACAAGTGAGAAAAGTGCTTTTTGTTCATCATTTAGTGCTACTACCGTATTTTCTTTAGACAGCAGCCAGAACTTCTTTTTTTTTCCCCCTGAATCACGGTGATGACATTACCTTTTATCTATGCACACCCAGTTTTAAGAACCTTTTATACAGTTATCTTGGACTATTAAAATACCTTTTTAATGGACGAATTCTACAAATTGGCATATTATTTAAACACTATCAAGTGACTGGAAAACAGTCTCCTGTTTCTTGCTTGGTAGGGAAGGTTCATTAGGAAAACTCTCCAGCGATGTTTGAAATGTGCGAGAACAACAAATGCCATGTTACAAGTTACAATGATCTTCCTGCCCCAAAGTGCTTTATTAAGTAATGCTCAGGGGAAAAAGGGAAAAAAAAAATCGGACAGATGTATCAACTTAGGCATCTCATTCTGCACTGAAGCCCTACTGGTGTGGGTTAGCACTTGGCCAGTTCACTGCCTTTTTTATATCAAGCAGAATTTAACTCTCGTTGTATAAATTAATTTTGCAAGGCAACCTCTGCATACATAATGAATGGGATCAGTAGTCATGTCTTAGGAAGCAGGAACTTGCCTTGCATTATAATTAGCATCACTTTAAAGCCGCTGAAGTTCCAGTTTGACAAGTAGATTTAGCTGCGTGCACATAGGCCCTGCCCTTTCATTCTGGCACTGAGACTACGACTCTTTGAAAATGTACAACACAGCCCACTATTGTGACCACATTCAGTTTTATTCCTAGGTGGCATTATCTGTTTCCCCTTTGTCTTCACACCAATTCATTCAGATTTTTGGCTCTCAGAGGAGACGTGGGCTCTTTTTATACAACAACACTAAGTTCTATCAGCAAATGCTGCTAAAATCAGCAAGTGATATCTAGTCTCTTCCAATACATACTACACATACACGTAAATATATATATATATATATGTGGGTATACACACACACACATACATTTACTTTCCCCCCAGAGTAGATGGTTATGACATTGTGTACTATGTTTCCCAAGGCATGGAGGAACTGAGAAAATACAAGGAGCTCAGAGCAACAAGGGTAATTTGATTTAAATTTGATATAAAACAATTTATAAATTGGACAGGTAAAGGTAATGTGTGTGTTTCCCATCAGGCAAGGGCTTATTTAGTGCTGAGCTCTAGGGAAGAAAAAGTGTACTACCCATAAGCAAGCCCTTAGCCTCCTTAAGCTGTGGGCATCCACACGGGCAATGTAACCATATTCTCTGGGGCCGTCAGTTCCGTGGGGCTGCAGGAATGAACCATCTCCATGGAGCGGCAGCTGCTCTGTTCAGACACGAAACCGCATTTTCGCAGCGAGGCACCATCAGCCCCTGTGCAGGAAAGCCGAGCGCCTGCCAGGCTGCACTCGTTGGTCTGCATGGCCAGGAGCTGGTCGCATGCTTGACAGCAGCCACCTGCTTCTCTTCCAGAATAAAAGTGCAGCAGCAAAAACCTGAAGGCCTGGATATCTGAAGACATCACAAGCTTTGTGATGGCCTAAACCCTGTAGTGCCTTTTCATCCTCTTTCCAAAGAGAAGTAGCCCTCTGGAGAGAGGACAAAAGAAATGCACATCAGGTGAGATGCCCAGGTTAAAAGAAAATCTGCTAGCCCAGAAATAAAGCATGTCTAACTGGGTCAGAGCACTGTCATCCTAGGAGCCAACCCTTTAAAGCCTCCATGTTTGCTTTAG